ATTTTGGAATTATTCCTGCACTTCCAAAAATCCACAAACCTACACTTTCAGTTCGACCTATCATTGCTTCTAATAATAATCCTCTTGAACTTCTGGCTTCTTTTTTGACAGATATACTGACAAGGGCATACGATTTTGAAAATCCTTATTATATCAAGGATTTTTTTGACCTCTCATCAAAATTTAATAAAATGCAACTTCCTGACAACTATGTACTAGCAAGTCTGGACGTGGTTTCACTTTTCAGCAATGTTTACTTAGATGCTTGTATCAGATCAATACATAAAAATTGGAACCAAATAAGTAATTTTTGCAATATCTGTGAAGATGATTTCATTAAATTATTAACCTTCCTCTTTAACAATACATATTTCTCATTCAACAATCAAATTTATAAGCAAACCTTTGGCACTCCTATGGGAGCAAAAATAAGTCCTATTTTGGCAAACTATGTTATGGACGAAGTGCTAGATAATGTCTTGAATGTCCTTCCCTTCAATGTTTTCTTCATAAAAAAATACGTGGATGACATCATCTTAGCCCTTCCTCAATCAGAGATAACTGAAACTCTAGATGTATTCAATAGCTTCGATCCTTACATTCAATTTACTATTGAGAAAGAAGACGAAAACTGTAGTGTTCCATTTTTGGACACTAGACTGATTCGTACCCAGGATAACACAATATTAATAGACTGGTATAGGAAACCTATGAGTTCTGGCAGATATATGAACTACTGGTCCTACCACAGACAATCGATAAAAATCAACTTGATCAAGCAAATGAAGCAACGAGTGTTACGTATCTCTGATCCTTCTTTCCACCAAAAAAATCTGAAAATTCTTCACACCTTGTTTTCACAAAATGCATACCCGTCATCATTACTTAACAAGATTTTATATAGCACTCCACCCATTAACCAAATGATCAATCAAATAGTTCCTGAAAATGTTAACAATACAAATAATAACTCTCAAAATAATCTTCTCTACATCTCTTTACCATTTATTGCAGAAATCACTCCAAAATTATCTAGAATTTTCAATACACTAGGAAATTTAAAAATCTCACAAAAAACAGTGTTAACTATAAACTCTTTATTTTCTGTGGTCAAAGACAGAGTTCCAATACCACATCAATCAAATGTAATATACTGCATTCCTTGTTCAAACTGCAACCATGAATACATAGGCCAGACTTCTAGGTTACTCAAAGACCGCATAACATCCCACAAAAGTGACAGCAGACTGCACCCTGAAAGATGTGCTCTCAGTGAACATGTTTTCAAAGAAGGTCATAACATGGACTATAATTCCACCAAAATCTTAGCAAAAGAAAAAAACAATACAAAACGAATTTTTTTGGAAATGACATTCATATCCCAATCTACAAACAGCTTGAATAAAAGAACAGATCTGAATCATTTAAGTGAAATTTATTCATACCTACTTTTGTTAGATAAGAATCCCAGAGCTCTCAACAACATTTCAACTTTCTAAATACATCCAACAATATATTTTTTCTATCAAAGTCTATAACAATTAATAATAACTTATTCAATATTAGATAATATCTCATCTTTAGAAGTAACTGTAACTGTACCAACTGTATACTACCTACATGTCCCACAAGCAGTAACAATTGACAAATGACTGACTTAGTGTCAATTGACAATTGTCATAGTTAACCTCAATATAAGTTCCCGCAAATTTCTCAACAAATTCGAGCATGGCCATGTGTTTCGGCAGCCGAATATGAAATTTATAAATAAAATTCAATAAAAAAAAAAAATCTCATTTTACTATTTTCAACTTTTACAATTTTAAATTGATCTTGTGTCCACTGTTTTAATGTATTACAAATTACTGATGTGTCTTGTGAATCTACTACTGTTACCATCTTTCAACGACCATTCTCACTGACATTGTAAGTACTTTACTGATAATTTTACAGAGCCTTTTTAAAGAAATTTTCATAAATTGTAGCTCCCTGATGATGACAATATTCATTGTCGAAATATTGGAAATATAATGTTATAAGAGTACACCTTCGTTTTGCTGCAGTCCTATATATATATATATATATATATATATATATATATATATATATATATATATATATATATATATATATATATACGAACGATGAACAAGTAAAAACATTTGATTCTCGGATTCTACCAAATTTATGTCATTTCTATTTTATGAGTCAGACGAGTCGCCTATTTTTTTTATGGTCGAATCTGATGACATTGAAATGATTATATTGAGATGTAGGTGAAACAGCGGAATAGTGTGGTGTTCCAATCAACCGTACCGCTCCGACGTTGGCGTATGGGGTTAGTAATACACAAAACACACATGGGCTCAAGAACCTCTCGTAAGATCGATGACCAATTGGTATTTATTATACATACCAACGAAGTGAATGTACTAAATACAATAAAAAAACATTAGTAGTAGTATACAGTCTGTCCAAGATAAGGTTGAACAGCATGAGGATCTCGAAAACGGTGAGAGATACGAAATCGGTTAAATGGGGAAAAAGTTGCGAATTCGGAGGCTCATATCAAGAGCCTCCGAAAATTTTGAAAATTATTTTTAGTTTTTGAGTTATATCGAAAAAAGTGAATTTTTGGAATTTCTATTTTATTTTTTTTCTCCGTTATTATTAGAGATACAGCAAAACTGAGGATACTTTTTCATAGCAACTTTTGATGACGGTCAACGTGGTGATACCGATTTTTTCATGCGACGTTTCGTATTCGTGGAACCATCATCAACTTTTGTTTTTTAAATACGGTTCTGATAATTTTTTCACAGATTCTAAAAGGTTTTTTTATTCTGAATTCAACCATGTATTATACAAGGTGGTTCATTTGTGTTTCGACCTATTTTTGGCCATCATCAATGTTTTTTCGAAACTCCAAAGGAAAAATGCCATCAGTTCCACTTATTTTGAAGGAAAATTAGTCAACACACTAATACCTCATCAACTGGTTTCAATCAACAACCCATTTCATTTTGCGGAAACAAAAATTCCATCCATACAAATTCAGAATATGTCAAGCGCTAAAACCAGGCGATGACGAAAGGCGCAAGACATTCTGTGAGTGGTATACCAGGAAATGTTAAAATTTTGCAGATTTCTTTCGAACAATCATCTGGACTGATGAAAGCATGGTCACTAATCATGGTAGCTTCGATAGAAAAAATACACATTATTGTTCACGAGAAAATTAACATTTATACATTACAGCGAGACACCAACACCGTTTCGGCTTTAATATGTGGGTTGCAACATTTGGTACACGAATTATTGTTCCTTCTATTTACCATGAAACACAGACTTCCGAACGTTATAGAAATTCGCTTGAGAATCATCTTGAGGAAGCTCTGGATGATTTACCGATTGCGGAAGTTCAGAAATCGGTCGAAACACATTCGAATCCCCTTGTATAGTACATTGTTGAATTCAGAATGAAAAAACCTTTCAGAATCTGTGAAAAAATTATCAGGACCGTATTTAAAAAACAAAAGTTGATGATGGTTCCACGAATACGAAACGTCGCATAAAGAAATCGGTATCACCACGTTAAACCTCATCAAAAGTTGCAATGGAAAAGTATTTTCAGTTTTTCTGTATCTCTGATAATAACGGAGAAACAAAATAAAATAGAAATTCCAAAAATTCACTTTTTTCGATATAACTCAAAAACTAAAAATAATTTTCAAAATTTTCGAAGGCTCTTGATATGAGCCTCCGAATGCGCAACTTTTTCCCCATTTAAGCGACTTCGTATCTCCTACCGTTTCCGAGATCCCCATGCTGTTCAACCTTATCTTGGACAGACTGTATATAGGATATGTACTTGGTTGTTATGTATATGTACATACCAACTGGCCATATCGATTTTACGAGAGGTCCATCAGCTCATTAGTGTTCTGTGTAGGCTTTGTTACTAACTCCAAACGCCACCTTAGGAGCAGCACTGTTGATTGGAACGCAACAGCGAATTGTGCGAAATCATCTCCGACCGTGGCTACAAAAATTATAATTTATAACTCGTTTTTTCAATAAAAACTCTCTGCTTGTTCGGGGATCTAAACCTAGCAACATTCCGCTGTTCTGATTACTAGTCGAGCGCCTCAACCACTTTGTGATATATTTCAGTTGGAAATTTCATGACTTCCTACACGAGGGCAGCGTAGACAAATTCTTTCTGCAGTAAAATTTTTTTCAAATTTCAACAAAAATTGAGTTGCATGTAGGTATTAACTATTTCACCTACGACCACTATAGAAAGTAGGCGAGAACACACGAGATACAGCCTCATTAAGTAGCTCTACACGCACAGTAAGCACATCGCACAGTTTTCGTTTATTCCGCCAGTATAGGTATGTCATGATTGCGTAATCGCCGTCAACAGCAGATGACATATAACTGTCAAGAATTATAATTCAAACTTTTTTGATGTACTATATATATGGCAGTGGGTAAAGTATAGTACGTAATACGGTAATACGTGTTGTAAAGCAATTACGCACTCATGGAATTTCGCACTAGCCGCTTCCCGGCTACGTGCTACGTGCGTAACTTTTCCATTCGTGCGTAATATGCTTCTTATAACACATATTATGTAATATACTATACTAATCGTTCAACATCATCAGTTTTCAATTCAAATTTGATTGGTGAAGCCGCTGCATGCGTTCGCACACGTATTCCATTGATTCAAACACCGGTCCAGCCCCGTATGTATGATATCGGCATTTAGGCAACTAACATTACGAGACGAGACTCTAGTATAGTCGATAGCGAAGAGCGAGCTGAATGGTTCACATCTCTAATCACGCTGTGGATTCTAGACTCTACTCCAGAGTAACACTGGAGCAGTCCGTATTGACAGTAATGACACAGGCTCACTGGTGTAGCTGCTATGCTACAGAACAGATTAATCTGAAAATCAGGTGATTTTGACAAATGGAAAATTACTAATTAGTCATTTTCATTGGTTTGTTTTTGTATATTTGTATGGTTTTTCTCATTATCATAATATTCCAAATGTGTTCTTGTTTTTAATAATTTCTTCTTCATTAACATAACATAACATTATAATATAAATTTGAAATAATTGGCAGGAAATAATTAAATGATAATGTTCAAAGTTTGATACCTACTTATATACCAGAAAATAATGTGTTGTGAACATTTCAGTCATTAACCAAAGAAAATCCAGCTTCAAAAATGACTTCAGGTGAAACTTCAACTCAGTGTTCAGAAATAAGCTCCACATCTGACCTATTCCACTGTCCATTTGAATCCAATTTCACTTTGAGAGGTAGAAATTCGTACCGAAGATCCTTCCAAATTCTCAACTCCATCCAACATCCTAGACATATCCCTATTATGCCTGAAAGACGTTTGCCAAATATCTCGTCCACTCTGAGTATGTACTTATCACAAGCTAGTTGTACCATCAAGCTCCTTTCTTTCTCCTGCTTACTATATAGCTATATGATTTTTTTGAAAATGCTATGAAATCTTTGACAGATTTTGTAACAGGGGTCCTAACTGGGTCCTACCTATTATTATTGAAGGTAGCAAATATAAAGAAAAGACCCTGTTTGATTCACCTGTGAAAAGAAGGTATTATAATGCTCAAATAGAAATTCATCAAATGTCTATATCAAGAATGTCCTTTTATTTTTTATTGGCCCTAGTTTTATTATTTTGTAATGAACATAGATTACATTTTCGGTTCAGTTTTTATTTTGCAACCAAGTTTTTAACAGTACCTATGGATGAATATTATATTAATTTCTTCAATATTTCAATACTCTAATGAAGCTACCTATGTAGTTATATGAAACTCTATATCAGATGAAATTTTCAAAAAAGCCATGTTCATGTTGAGTTAATTCCTTCACCAATTACAAAGTTTTTCCAAATGTTTCTAGTGATTGTAATTGTGATAGGAATGAAATTATGACCACTAATAGCTCTGTATGATCTGAAGTCATCATGAGAATGGCATCTTTATATAATACTGATAACTTTCTCCTTTAGGTACTCCATCTGGTTCCACAAGATTTGCCACTATTTCAGTAGCCCTAATTTTTTTAACTTCTTTGAGTGCATTGCTCCTTGTATACAGTACATTCCCAAATGTAACAGAGTAAGTAAGAATAATGTTAGGTAAAACACTATGATTCATTGAATAAGAAGCATTCAGTACAGTGAATATTATTATTAAAATTTTGAGTTCTCTAATGATAATTGTTGCTGCTCTAATTCTGAATTCACTATAAAATATTTGATTTTCTTTTCAGTGATGAGAGGAAGCATATCAAGGTTCCTTGGAATATAGAAGATGCCAAGCAACTTGGCATTGTACTGGATAAGTACAAAACTGATCATTACTACCAAGTGATGGTAGGAGTTTTTATAATGTATATATTGTATCCTTTTTGATAACTTAATTCCCATTTATTCATTTCTTTACTATACATTCCAAGAATTCAAGATCAGGAATAATATTCTTCTGGCCTAGTCTTCTCCATTACAATATTTCATTTACTTCATTCTATTCCAGTTTCCTAACTGAAAAAAACAAGCACTCAGTAGGAGCATTAGTAATAGGTAGCATCAGCAGAGTAATCATGAACATTTCTGAAGTATAAATGTAGGACCCTGCAGTTTGCAGGATTTACAAATCAAAACAAATTATGTGATGATGAGCTTTGTTAGCAAAACATATCCTGTTATTGGGAATCTCCAGGAAATCTTTCATTTGTGAAGTTTTTTAAATTTACTAAGGACGCCATGAAATTATTCCAGAACAAGTTCAAGTAGGAAAAATGGAGTTACATTCAAGTTTTATACAGTGTGTCCAAGATAAGGATGTCTATCATGGAGTAAAGTTGTATGGAAAATCTCAACGCTGATTTGTAGAGCTTAAAAAGTGTCTTTGAGAAAGTGTCTTTTGTTTTCCTATATCTCTTTAAATGACGTCAGAAAAAAATAAAATGATCCTTATCTTGGATACAGTGTATTGAAAGAAGGAAGAGTTTCTTTGTCCATTTCCTCCCTGAGCTTAGTCCATAGTTTTATCTGCAAGAGAAGATGATGGACACATGCACAGTTTTTTTATTTACAGTATTTACTGTTGCAGTGAGAGTACACATCAGTCTTAAATGATTATTGAGAGCCATGTGACCAATTTCTATTTATTTATTTATTTTCCAAATAACAGGTCAGCATATATTAATAGTAATAAGCTTTTTTCATGAAAATATGATCATATAAGTTGAGAACAATTCACATAATAAATACATATATAATATGCATAATACAGGGTGTTTCGAAATTCGACCGACAACGTTTGACAGGTGATAGCCCTCGTGATTTCATAATCATTGAGATAGGAACATTCGGTCTTCAAGTGTTCAGTTCTCGAGATACAGGGCGTTGAAGTTGAGAAATGAAAATAGTTGTTTCGCAATATCTCAAGAATAATTGAATATAATGCATTCAACTTCGGTATATGGTTTCATCTTTGAATGGGCCATTTTTTGACCTGGAAGCCATTCCGGACATTTTGTCCAGTGGTGCCCTACAGGGGGTTGTGGCATTTTTTCCTTCCATATTTTCTACGCCACTGATTGAATTTCGATTATTTCCAATTCCTCGAATTCATTGTTCAATTTTGTTCAGAAAATGCATCACCTTCAACTGAGCTGAAATAAACAGTTTTCGAGATATTAGACCCAAAATAGAAGATTGCATAGTAATATTTCATCATTTTCAGTAGTAGAAAATTGCAAAAATATTTTTCTGGTGTTGAGTAGATTAGATACTATTCAGATCTCATGCTATAGCTGAACAGAAATAGTTATTCCACGCATAAAGAGAGAACAAAAATGTTCGTAATTTTCTAATACTGAGGAAGATGAAAAATTACTATGCAAACTTCTATTTTGGGTCAAATATCTCGATAACTGTTCATTTTAGCTTAGTTGAAGGTGATGCACTTTTTCAACATAATTGAACAATCAATTCGAGAAATTAGAAATAATTGAAATTTCATCAGTGGCGTAGAAAATATGTGCGGAAAAGTTATCACAACCCTCTGTAGCGCACCTCTGGATAAAATTCTCGGAATGTCTTTCTGGTCAAAAAATTAACCATTGGAAGATCAAACCATATACCGAATTTGAATGCATTATATTAAATTTGTCTTGAGATATTGCGAAAAAACTATTTTAATTTCTCAACTTCAACGCCCTGTATCTCGAGAACTGAACACTTGAAGACCGAATGTTCCTATCTCAATGATTATGAAATCACGAGGGCTATCACCTGTCAAACGTTGTCGGTCGAATTTCGAAACACCCTGTATAAATCAACTATAAAAATATTATATAATGCATATTATTTCATACCAATTTGAATGAAATTCAATATTGTATGCTTTAATTCAGAATACTGTTCTTTTTTAAAAAGGATGGCATTTATTTGTATTTTTTTTATCTATATATAAATGGCATGTTTTTGCATTGAAGTTGAAGTGAATTTTCAAGTTAATACCCAACCAATAATAATACATTCCTATCTTTCAACATGTGTAGAAAAAATGAGATGCCACATTAAAAATTGTCATGTGGCAATCAATCATTGTTGAAGACTTGTTAGCTATGAGTCAATATTTGTAAAAAAGGGTCCACATCCTTGATTATTAACATTAACAAGATTAACCATCCTTTATGAGAGCAATGGATTCAAAAATCCTATTCAGTAGGTGGCGGTATCTATGAGCCACTCAGTGAATTACTTTTTGTTGAGAATATTGAAGGATAGAGATCGGTAATTTATTTATTTATTTATTTATTTATTTAATATTAAGACATCCAGCAGGCTTACGCCCATTTACAGGTGTATGTAATAATACATGGTTATTAGTTGGATCGCTAGAAATATATACCTATATCTATACATAACTCGAAAAGAATATAAACTAAGATATGTGAAACTAGTTCCTCAAGGCACTAAATAGTCTATGCTTGAATTGAGACAGCGAGAGAAAAAATATATCAATACTTTGTAAATTGTTGTAACTTCGGCACATTGTTGTAAGGGGACAATGGAAGTGATGTGTGTTGGGCACAGCAATGCGGAACGTTATCTGATCTGATCTTGACACGGATCGTGGTACATTGAAATCAATCAGAGAAAGTAATGAGGATGAATCGATATGATTATGGATTATTTTATGCATAAAAGTTGAATCGATTATTTCGCGATGTTTTTCAAGAGAAAATAAATCGAATTCGTTCAGCAATAGGTCATAGCTATAGTGTCTTTGAGGATACACGCCGTATTTTTTATAGTATGCATATTTTAAAAACTTTTTTTGCACTGATTCAATGGCTTCGATATATTTGGAATGACATGGATCATGGATTCCATACGACACTACAGTAATCTAATTTACTTCTCACCAATGAGTAGACACTGCGCAAAGCACCAAATGATTTGATCTCCTTACAGGTACGAATCAAAAATCCCAAAGACTTCATAGCTCTGCCTATTACACTTTCTATATGAGTGGAGAATGTCAACTTTTGGTCAAAAAGAACTCCTAAATCTTTGAATTGTTGAATTCGTGCTAGTTGTGAAGTATCCAAGTGATAATCGAATGAAATTGGTGTAGATTTTCGACTTTACATTCATTGTTATCCAAGTAATGCAGAATATATGAAGTTTATTCTTCGATATATATTAGGAATGTTGCATCAGAGCCGGATTGAAATATTGTCATTTGAAATCCTTCAGAATATTAAAGTTGGTGATTTTTTTGCTTTACAAAGAATGATATTCCTAGATAGCTCAGTAACTTGCAGATAAATGGACTCGAGCAGACTCCGAGAGTAGGTGACGAAGTTATTTTGCCAGAAATATCCGGATTTTCGTGAAAAATTATTGAACGGAGTATGTTCAATTTTGGCTCTTTATGCGACTCCTAGATATAATCTGAAGTAGGTATGAAGTAGGTATGGAGAGCGTAATCTTGAAATTATCCATACAACTTGTGTTTACTTTGCCATGAGATGTAAAGTAAATAATATAAAAATTCATTTTTGGCAAAGTTGATTCTTCAGATAAGATACTTTGCCATACACCCATCAGTATATAACAGGAGCTTCAAAACCAGAAAGAAATAAACACAAAATTCCGATAAAAATGCTTTTTAATGTGTGTATATCCATCAGTCCTCACCTTCAACATAACTCATAAAGAATTAAATAATTCATAGAAAACGAGTTCTCAAATTGAAAAAAAAACAAAACATTGAAAAAATATAGGCTCTTGGACTAATAGGTATGTAGACAAATCGGCCATATTTTGCTCTTACGAACCAGCCAAGAACTAAGGCAAAATTTGGCTTCAACATCTCACATGGAGGTGGATCATCTTGTTAGTGTAAATAATCAAGACGCAAATCCTAGTCGAAATAGCTCGCGTGCACGATGACCGACCCTGGAGGTGAAATATTGAAACACAACCTCACTTTTCTGTCAAACATTGAAACACAACCTCACTTTTTTTATTTGTTTACAGACGAATCGAAGAATTTAAATAGTTTTTCACAATATTTCGGCAGACGAATCGTGTTTTTTGCGCTATTTATTGATTCAAGCATGCCTTCTCATTGTGCTGTTGTAAAAAAAATGCAGCAAGAGACGAAAGAATATGATTTCTTTAGGTAAATAGTATTCACATAGTTTTTATTATGAAATTCCTTCTGTCACAACACACACGATCATATTTTGTCAGCATGTCAGGCCAGTCTTTCTGTTTGCATGACACCAATGTTCTTACATTATTTTAGAAATTTCACGAGTATTTCTATTAAGCTCCTATACTCTAGAGATAATTCCGATGAGAAATCAGAGAAATTACTAAATTTCAAAATGAAAACCATTTGTGAGTGACTATAATAGGTAGTTACTTTTAAATCATTATGTACTAACTGGTTTCCTTCGTTTTCCGCTGCATTGTACAACAGCACAATGTGATGACATGCGCGAAATAATGAATAGCCGAAAAACACGATTCATATGCCAAAATAATTGTGAATTCTGAAAAACTATTTCCATGACTTGTAAACAAGTAAGAAAAGTGAGAGGTTGTGTTTCAATGTTTCACCTCCAGGGTCGGTCATCTGACAGTTCTTGCACGCAATCCATAAGATAAGACAAGATATTTATTGGTCTTTATGCAAATTTATGTAGGTACACCGCAAAAAAAAAACAATACACATAATTTGTTTAGACAAGTCAACAGTGGCATGAGATTAACATAATGCACTCATACCCAATACAGGCTAAAATTTAAGAATAAAAACATAACTAAGATTAAAATTTATATAAAATCAGCACCTTTTCGTGAAAAACACATAAGTATAAAATTCAATTCGAAACAATTTCATTTGAGCCTTGTTTTATTTATAAAATTGACTATCCTACATCAAAAACCTCATTTATTGAGTAAAATGCTTGGCTTAAAAGAGACTGCTTCACCACAAATTTCACAAAATCAAACCGAAATATGCTATTTTAAGAACATCTTTGCTTACCACGCTTCTCAATCTCCTCAGAGCAAAACGACCTTTGGACAGTTTCTTATTTATTTCTGTAATTTGTGTTTTCCAGCTGAGATTGCTGTCTATATGAAAACCCAGTAAACGCACATTATTCTCGTTATCATTATTCGTTCTTTTGTTGAAATCTATAATTTTAGTTTTGTCTTTATGTATAAAATGAACAGCAGCGGACCCAACCCCGAACCTTGGGGAACACCATGTTTGATCAACTGTATATCAGATGTAATATTAGTGAATGTTGTAAAATTCCTTGACCGCAAAATAGCCTACAAACGTTCGCCATCCCAGGCTCCCTATTCCTCTCGATCCTGTCGGGATTCTTGTTTCCATTCACCGTAGCCCTAGCCCTGGTCTGCACCTGCTCGATGCTGGGAGCCACCCTTTGCTTCATGCTCTCGCAGCTGCTGGGCAGGAAGCTGGTGCTGCACTATTTTCCCGAAAAAGCCCGAGCTTGGGCGATTCAAGTCGACAAGCACAAAGACAACCTGTTCAACTACGTTGTTTTTTTGAGGGTGACGCCATTCTTGCCGAATTGGTTCATTAATTTGACGGCGCCGGTGATCGGAGTGCCCTTGTGGCCCTTTGCTTTCGGAACGTTCGTGGGAGTCGCCCCTCCGTCGTTTATCGCCATACAGGGTGGGCAGACTCTACATGACATGACGGCTAGTGACAGCGCTTTCAGTGCTACCACTTTTCTGTGGTTGGCGTTTTTCGGGGTGGTGTCTTTGGTACCAATATTTTTGAAGAACAAACTTAGAGCCAAGATCGACTAGGAGCAATAATTGGGTTCTATGAACTTGGTTTAGTGAAATTGTATTTATTTTGATTATTGAGTATGTTGATTTCAAGTTTTTGTTTGTAAATTTGTATGTTCAACAAGAATACGCGGAATAAAGAGTTATTTTGCAGATGAAAAAATTACGTTTATTTTCAAATTCCTTTATGGTTGGGCAATCAACGATCTGTCAAACTATCTCTGATTATCACATATTTAGGTACTAATTTATGGTTATTAACAACTAGCTGACCCCGCAAACGTTGTTTTGCTTTACCGGGTGACACAGTAGGAGACATGTAACAGCCTGTACTTTTTTATTTGAAGAGATACGAGATTGAAATTCACAAGGGTTATATTATCGATGATGGCAGTTCCCTTGAACCCATAAAGACAATTTTCTTCAACCACCTGTTTGATCGGATGTAGATCCAACTTTTTTTTTTCGAATAGCACCCTGTATATTTCTGTAGCCTATCTCATTTGCCTTGAAATTCTCTATTCAAATATGTATCACAATTTGATATTCGTTCATTGATTGGCTGTTAAATTGCATTTTATTAAAATACATGCATCAGTTGGCTGTGGCCCGAATGCGATTTTACTAATAATATACTGTACGCTAGCACAAACCACGCCCACCGTAATATCTCATCTTCGAAGTACTTAGGCAAAACTCAGAAACTATTTATCCTTAACGAACTAACCTATCCCTGATTGCAATATTTTTGAGGAAGGAAAACCGAATGGAGTGTAGAAACACATTGATTAATATGTTTCAAAAGTTGAGTTCTTCAACAAAATTGAATAAAATGAGACTGTTTATCCTAAACGCACTAACCTATTTGACTTCAAATATTTTATGAAAAAGGAAAACCGGAATGAAGTAAAAAAACATTGGTGAAAAAAAAAAGTTCTCAGCGATTCGAACCATGGACCTTCAGACTGAAAGTCGACAGCGCTAACCAGTAGACCATTTGGGTGTATGAATTTACTGCGTACAAGAGATTGACAACGAGAGAGCTTCAGTCGAATTCGTGTCAAAATCATAAAAAGTGTATTGTTGCGTTGGAGCACAGTATATTTAGTGCGATGTGCTGACTCCGAGTATATCGGTAATGTTTGGAGATATGACGTATTATGGTGGGCGTGGTTTGTGCTAGCGTGCAGTATATTTAGTAAAATCGCGGCCCGAATGCAATGACATTACTTAGACGATATTTACAGAATATTTCCCATACCCCATTTGGTCCCAGAAAATTGCCTATAATTTCATAAAAGAATCATCCGAGAACTCACGATATTGAGAAAATTAAGATTGAAACACGGTTTTTTTCATTTGGCTACTTGCGAAAAAGAATCAGGAAAAATTGTTTTAGCAGAAACATCCCTCATCATAACCAAGATACATACACAATATGGACTTTTAGCATATTCTTCACTCTGCTAATGGGCTTATATCACAAAAAAATTTCATTTCATATTTCGATAGAACTCACCCAAACTAGCTCACCATCGCAAACCGTTTCTTGCTGTGAGCTCCCTACCTTTTATGAAAAATCAATGAAATCCCCGATTTTTTGGACCTCTGAAAACGAGGTGATGATGTGACGTCAAAACCCTAATACTGAAACAAGACTATTCCAGATAGAGATGAATGATACATGAGTTCTGACAAAGTGAATTAGCGCGAGACCACAGTTGAAAGTGTTAATATATCAGTTGACTCAGTCTCCGTCGGGCGTTTGATATTTTCTTTTAACTATTGCGAGATGAGGTTTCTACGTCATAAAAGGGTCCGTTTTCAGAAGGTACTATTATTTATGTCCAAAAATAAAACATTCCAGTTGATTTTTCGATCGAATCATGTCGTCAATCATAATTTATGTATAAAATGATCATTATGAACATGGTTTGAGTCGAAAGTTCTACTAAGGTGTACACGCCCATTGAAATGTTTTAACATGATTCTCTAGAAATAAAACTAATGAAATCATTCAGTGAATTATAGTAACTACAACTTTTATGAGAGAGGTTGTTAACTAGTTTATCAATCAGAAAAAATGCGAGGCCAGATAAAATCAGACTTTATTCAGATATTATTGGTTAAAATATGATAAATGGCTGTATAAAATAACTAACAGTAAGAATTGATATAAGTTATGGAAGGACCACTTGATTTTTGTGTGGGAAGACTGACGGGTCTCCAGTACCACCAATTATACCATACTGAAAAAAAAATTGAATTTTTAATTGGTCTTCAGAAAAAAAATACTATTAAAAAATTGACAGCATGTACAGAGTGGCTGGAATTCGAGCCTCATCGTTGGGATATCGTAAACTGTATGAGATACAGGGTCAGTAAAAAATATGAAAAATTTGAAAAATTTCAAATACTTCCAAAGATTTCTGGGAAAACCGAATATTCACGATTTCATTTTTATTTTCTCATGCCTCTTCAAATAGATGTAACAAAACAAATCACACATTCCCATTGCTACTTTTTCTGTTGTACAAGATGATATCAGATTTTCAAACCAAAGAACCCATGTTGTGTATTTGAGCTGCCATCATCAATTTTGTTTCTTAACTATGGCTCTAGATTTTTTATTATGGATTTCAAAAGCTTATGATCTCCCAAAACAAACGTATACACCATGTGAATTTAGGATGTGGTTTGCAAACGATTTTTTGGTGTCATATTCATCAAATAAAGGGGGAATATTTTTGGATTTTTCCATGATTTTGACATTTATTGAGAACCCGTTTTTTTAGTACCTTTGAAATTCTTGGCTATGGGCATTGACAATTCAAGAAATAGTAGCATCAACAATTTCTTCAACTCTAAGTAAGTCTAGCACAAAATCGGTAATTCTTTTACACAAATATCATTTGTTTTTGTATTGTAGACCTTTCAATTAGGCTGAAGATGGTCTTTTATAAGACCGAAACATGTCCCTTATGATTGATTATGTAACAATATCATTAAAATTTGTGGAGATGACTTCCAGCATGCCTTCCTTCCTGTGAAAAATAACTATTGTTACATCTATTCAAATTTGAAAAAGGCATTTGGTAGGCATAAAATTGCACAACTTTGCCATAATTCAACTGACCCTTTATCTTGATGATGCTTGAACTTCAGCCAACCTGTTCATGGAATTAGTAAGAAAATATCTTATTACTACCGGATTTGAAATTATTAGTGTGCTATAGACAGACTTCAGTTATTATTGTTAAGTGATACAACTTCTTTGCATTGTTTTAGGTATATTCATGTCAGTGGAAGTGGAATATGTCTCATATTATTGGTTGATTCTTTCGTTCTGAACTGACACATTTCACTTGAACTGAACTGAATCAGTTGACATGCATTGTACCTAATCAACATTATTTGAAGAAGGCATATCAACTGATTCTCAGTTCTAGTCACATTTTTCCTAGAATTTTCAGTTAGTGCAGATTGAAAGAATATCACTGTACATGTGATTATCTCTAGAGAATTAGGTACCATGAAACATTTGGGAAGAAATGCAGTCAGAATATTTTTTCCTGTTGAAGACTTTTTTAGTTGGAGAAAAAAGGTCTCCTTTTGAATATTCTTTGCAGTTTTCAAGATTTTGGTCATTTTCACTATTTTTTCCTCCACAAATGACCTCTTTTTCACATTTATTCTATTGCAGCTGTTATTCAACAGTGATCCCATTTCTCCATACTTATTTTGCACTACTTTAATTTTGTAATGAGATACATTTTTGGGGATAACTTTTCCTCATTTTCACACTTCTTGATGTCCTGACTATTGAATAAACTCATTAGGAAGAGTTATTAGTGACCAGTTTCAGCTATAATGAAGGTATTTCTGAGGCTAATTCATACTTACAGACATAAGAGGCTTTCAACACCACAGAAACAGTCCTGCATTTCCCTGCACATTCTTTGGATGGTTTCAAGACAATACTTCTCTGCCCCTTTCCCTGAACCACAAAAACATTACTGCACTCAGTGTTGGGCAGAGTATAGGGCTCTGATTTGTCCCCATCTATGAACACAAATCTCTCTACACTCTGTCCTGAACGTTCAGGCAGAAATTCTGGCTTTGGGAATACTTGGCGAATAACTCTAGCAGGTGCCATTTTGTTGATGCGCCAGGAGATATGTATGTTGGAAGATATGAAATTAATACTGTTACTGAACAGGTCTTTCAGTGTAATGATGGAAGTGTTAGTGGATTTGAATGATTTAGCTTCAGCATCAAGGATTTTTTTGTTGTTGTTGTACACTTTTTGTAAGGTATGGAAGGTAACCAAACTTTGGTTTGTCTGGAATCAATAGGAAACAAAGTGAAGGTATCTGATGGAACGAGAAGTATTGATAGGTACTACCTTAATTATGAAAGGTGTGCCAGATCCTGATTTGATCAGGTTTTCCTCAACTTTAGTTATATTCAGCACACTATTGATATTTTCACATGGCCAACATTCCATGTCTGATACATAAAAGTATGGGTTCTCCACCAGACAACTTTCATCATATAAATCTGAAAATGAATTGATACATGGATAGCATAGCAAAAAACATAGTATTTTCTGAATTTACCTGTCAGTGATGGGAATAGCTTTATGATTGGAACAGATAAAAACCTCACAATTTTTAATGTAGGATGAGTCAAACCTTGAACATTTCTCAAAACTATACTTGACGTTGGCTGATGAACATTCAACAATACATAAATTGCAAGGAAAAGTATAATACATAGTAAAACTGTGTTTCTAAAAGTACTACAGGAATTTTGAGCTTTTGTCGGGTTATGGATTGCCTTTGAGCGGTTTATTTCATTTTTGAGCTCGGAGAAAGATTCTTTGAATAGCAATTTGATTTCTTCATCGTTCAGACTTAATTCTTTGGCACTTTTTATAATATTTACTACATCGTTTCTGTATTGTTTGAGAATTTCTTCTTTTGACATTTTATTATAACCAACATTTCCTTCTTCTTATTTCTTATGTCAGTCAGATATCTCCTTCTCATTTTCTCTGGTCGGTATGTATTTTGCCGTCTACTGTGAGAGCTTGCTGTGTGGCACGTCTGGCCTTATCACAATTCTTCTCTCTTCTATGGGAAACGGGCAGTGTTGCCAACTCTGATTTCCAAAAGTCGCAAATTGGCCACCTGAAAAACACCAAATAACCACCAAATCTGATACAATGGAAAAAAATTCACTGCAGGAATTTCGGATGCAGTTCCTCAACCCCTAGAGTTCACCATTCAATCGAAAAAAAAATCACCAAAATAAACACCATCCACTATGGATGCCTTGTTTTTGTACAAGCGTCTAGCTAGACCAGAGAATATCTTCCTAGCATCGAGGTCAAGTGACGTCACCTACAACACAAGATAAGATATTCCAGATGGCACCCCTGATGAAAGGATGCCGTTTACTTTTGAATCACCCTGTAGATGGAATCTAAAAAATGCATGTGACAAACAAGTTCATACAGGGTCTCCTTACGCAAACATCAGTCTATAAAATGATGCATGAAATGGTTTTTTTAAAATCTCTCAAAGTAATCATCAAAATTCAATGAGAATTCAATATTCATATATAATACTGCCTCTGTGAGCTAATCGAGTAGATGAAAAAAATTCTCTTTATTCAAAAAATAAAAATAGAGGAGTATTATTATTTCAATATTTATGTATACATAGTTTTGAATTCAACCTTCCATGAAGATACAGAAAATTCAATGATGTATACCTATAGAGTTTTGATTTTGAAAAATGTATTGCGGACTTCATAACTCAAACGTGGATCACCCTGTATATCCATGTTTTCCTTGCAAATGTGACAAATTGAACATTGAAATCGACCTGGTTCAGGAGATTCCTTGGAAATGGATAGTTTGGCTAAAAATGAATTTATTCAGTACTTTTCGAAAGCACTCAATTTAATGGACACACTGTATAGAAACCCATCGTGTAATAAATTTTTGATTTCATTTTTCCATTTGAAAAAATTACAGCGTATGTCATAACCCAAACGTGGATCACCCTGCATATTTAATCTTTTATTGAAAATGTGGCAGGTTGGAAATACAGATCGACCTGTTCCAGGAGATTTCTCAGAAATGGATGATTTGGATAAAAATGAATTCATTCAGTAATTCACGAAGTCGACCTCACATATCCCTATTTGAAGAAAATCCAAAGAAATGACATCGGGTGAAGGATCGTCAGGCCATATTCCACTGTCCCATTTTCCGAATCTTTATGGAACCGTCGTAATCAAAAGTTTACCCACTATATATACCATATACGTTCGTTTTTTGGTAAATTTGATCATCCCTTTAACATTTTACACGTTAACGCCCAGATAACATTTAACACGTTAACTTCTGCCAAGATGGAATTATCATATAGACTCTGTATACTACTAGCGCCCGAGAGGAAATTCCTATAAATGTGAAGAGAAGGTAGGTGTCGGAATTTTTTTTGAACTTTTGGAGGATATAAGTTTTTCCGTTGGCAGACAATTCCATAGTTTCGCCGTTCTATAGACGAACAAGTTTTAGTAGAGTTTTGTTCGACATTTTTCAAGGTTAACGACGAAGGACTACGCTGACTGGGCCTGTCGAGTTCGAGTATTGAGAACAGTATTCTAAAACTGGCCGTATCTGTACTTTGTAGATCATGAGAAGCTGTTGTGGTGTAAAGTAGATTTTCGCACGGAACAAGAATAAACCGAGTTTGTGTGAAGCAGCTTTTGCGATGGATCGAACATGATTTTCCCATGAGAGAGCATTGACGATGGTAATACCGAACATAGATAGATATATAGTGGTCTTGGTGAGAATGGTGGTACCAGAGACATATCAGGCATACTGAGTTCGTTCCGCCTTTCTATAGAAAATACAGGCTTGCGTATTGGTGGTGTTGAATTCAACCATGGTGTTGGTTTCTCGGGCTGTGATTTCCGCATGATCTTGATTGAGATATTGAGATCGTTGCCCTGCCTTCGTCACAAGCTCTTAGTTTCCTAAGAAGGAATGGGAATTCTAGAAAATAACGCAGTATGGAGAGTACTATCGTCTGCAAAGCTGTAAATACGGTAAGTGGTTGCTTCCAATAGATCGTTTATATGGAGTAGGAACAATGTTGGTGCCAAGATTGATCCTTGTGGAACGTTGCAATTGATGGCAATGGTATCAGACGATATTGCGTCCACCACCACATGGAACGATCTGTCGCAAAGAAAACTCGATAAAAGATGGCATAGCTGAGGTGGTAAGCCGGATATGAGGGTAGTTTGTGGAACAGTCCTTGGTGCTAAACACGGTCGACTGCCTTCGATATATCTATGGCTCCAGATAGAGATCTCTCATGTTTTTCTAATCAAGTTCGCCATATTATATATGGCTGACGAAGGCAAGTAAATCTCCTGTTGATCTTCGGTGGCGAAAGCCATATTGTCTATCATTAATGATTCCTGAGCTTTCCAGATATTTGATGAGCTCAATGTTGATGGCTTTCTTCATCACTTAGGAGATGACCGATTGGAGGCGATTGGCCAATAGTTGTTCGGCAGGCTCTTGTTTCCTTGAAATGTCTGGTGAAACCCTTCCTTGGGAATCCAAGGTAGAGTTTCCTGCCAACACCTCTGCAAAAATGATGTATTTTTCTGCCATGTTGTTACTAATGCGACTTCGTCTTTGGAGAGTGGTGGGAATAAACTATTAGTAAAATTCCTTCCGACTGCATTAGCGAGGGATCAAAACAAACGGGAGTCATTGCGGGACAATCTATGAGTTCTGATCTAATTTTGGTATTGTATGATTCTTTTGATTCATCAATTCCTTGGTTGCAGTTATTACTTGCTTCAACATACACTGCTCTAGTCACGAGGTCCTTGCGTCAGCGATGGTAGGCTGTTTGTTTCAAGGCAACAACTCTAGAACAGTTCTTGTTGAACCATCAGGGTTCCGAAGCTGATGGTCTCTTGACGTATGTAGGTATATTATGTACATTCCAAGCGTGATGATCTAGGATATTTCCGCGGCACATTGTGAATGATCCTCAGATTCAAAGCATATTCTATGCCAAGTAAACTCAGAGAAGAACATGCGAAGACCGTCCCCGTTTTCTGAGTTATAATGCTATACAAGACGTGGGGTTGCTGGAGAAGTTGATATGGAATGAATAATGGGCAGGCTGTATGTGGATATGAGTGTGTGGTCAGAATTGCCAAGTGGTGCTCATACATCTATGTTGTGAGGTGCTGGATTATTAGTGAGGAATAAGTCGAGTGTGTTGGCTGAATGATCGTTGATATGAGAAATTTGCGTAGGTTTCTGAAATGATTCTGTGAACTGAGAGTGGTATATACCTTCTCTTTGGAACTAAAACATTGAGGTCTTGAAAGACATGACTTTATTCACCTTTCCTGACAGTATGTCACAATGGGTTTCTCCATCTGCACATTATCAATATAGTGAGGATTATAAACAGTTTCTTGATAAGCTACTCTAAGCCGTGAGTGATGGCGAAAGCTTCATCCTTTTTGCTGAAGTGTAAGAGTCAAGCAGTGTGTTGTGTACATTGAAATCGCCACTAATGATGATTTCTGCTGCTTGATGGTTCTTCTGAATTGGGTCGAGCTTCAAGAACAAGAACTCGAAGAGCTCTTCAAAGGATGGATCATTTGGTGACGAGTAGAGACAACAAAGATATTTGGTCTGTTTCTGGCTATCGAGTTTGAACCACATAATATCAAACTTATTTGGTTCCCGAGTTGTTTCTCGATGACATGAAAGATTCGTTTTAAAATAGAGGCAGATACCTCCCTTGGACCTGAAGCGCGTGTAGAGTTCGTATTGATGGATGAATTGACCTGTGCCTCAGTCAGAGCCTATATGTTAGTCTGAAAGTGTCGATGGACATCGTTGGTGTTCTCTTGCTTTGACCACGGATGTTACATAGGTCTATCGGAAATCCGGATGGAGAACTATTTCACTTCCGGATAATATTACTTGAGGAGAACTCATCATCGCTTTTTCTGTATCGGAAAGAGAGGTTGACGTTTTTTTTTATGTTCTGGTTCCCACTAAACGGGATATCTTGTAATGTTCAGGAAACATCGTGAGAACCAAGAGAAATAAGGTAGGAATTGGTGTTCTTAAATTTATGGAGGTTATATGCGTCGGGGAACACCTCCCTTGGCAATCTGTTCCAGAGCCTCGCTGTTCGTTGGATGAACGAGTCTTTGGAAAGAGATGTTCTGCAGGTCTCCAAAGTGACCACGAAGGGGTGCAAAGCCTCAACTCGACGGGTTTATCTCACGGGGACTGCCAAGGGCGAAACAATTGTTGATATTTCAGAAGAGCATCGTCCATGAAAATATCTATAAAATAGAGCAAGATCGCCAACTTTTCTACGGTGTTCCAGAGAAGTGAGTGAGTTTGTGAGCGAGGCATCACCCACGAGACGAATTGCCCTTTTTTGGACAGAATTCGACAGTTTCAGGGTATGTTTGGGTGCTACACTCTAAATATAGGAACAGTATTCCAGGACAGGTCAGATCTGTGCCTTTTTCAGATCATAAGCAGCTGACTGGAAGTGAAATAGCTCCTGGCCCAAAACAGAAAACCAAGTTTTTGGGATGCACTTTTAGCAATTGATCTCACGTGATTTTCCCAAGGAAGGTAATTGCTGATAGTGATACCAAGCATCGAAATTTATGTCTTCAAAGGTATGGTTACTCCTGACAAGCATATGTTGGGCACAGTGATATCGGCTTTTCTATAGAGAAAAGGCATGATTGTGTTTTGTTTGCATTGAAATCTACAAAGTTATTGGATCTCCATTCGAGAATTGTTACCAAGTCTATATTTATGTTGTCAACATTTCTCGCTCGTTCGTTTCGGATTTGCCTGGCTGGTATTGGAACTCTGGAAGAGAAGGCGATATGGAGGGTACTATCATCCGCGAAGCTATGTACTGGAAGGAAAAGGAAATTGGATTGGGTTGGTTTGGCCGGAATCATCAACCAGCTACTGAGACATGGATAAGTATACCCATTTCACAGTTATATTGGCGTCCTTTTAGTCGCCTTCTACGACAGGCAGGACTTACTGTGGGGTTATTCTAATCCGACCGCCACGGACTAACGACTTACTCCTGCCATTATTCTACTCTTGAATACGAGGGTGATTACACAGGACATACTGTATAGGCACTAAGTAGGTCTCTTCGTTAGTATTGCTTATCAGATTATCTTATTGCTGGAACTTGTTTTTTTCATGACATCTCCTCTTACGTAGTGCGATAAATAGAAATAACCATAGAAGATATTTTTATTGTGAAATCAATTGTCAAAAATATTTTGTAAAGCACGGAAATTTGATTCAAATGATGCGTTTGGCTAGAAATTGAATTGATGCGAGGAATACGCTACTGTTTACATAAACGATAACCGATATTCAATTAATAATGATTGATTCAATGAGTGTTATGCATCATAATCACCTGAATTTATCAGTGATCATATCTGTTGGTAACCATAACAGGTACTGATAAGATAAGAGTAGCGTTCGTGGGATACATTTTTGAGATTAGGCATTTACTCACGTATTAAAAATACTTGCCTATTTGATGTTTCCTCAGAAAGAATGCATAGGAGTTTAACATTGTCAGAAATAGTTTCGTCGACTTTGTCAAGTAATAAAAATGATATAGTTGTTGATAATGAATTTTCCAGAGATAAGTTTTTTACTAATATTGGAATTGGTTTGATTGAGGTGAGTTTTACTTCATATCCTTATTTATATAGTTGATGGAATATCTGTGACGTCGATGATGTATACAGTGGTATCAAAATATTATATATCATGAGCATGTACGGTTACTCATAAGACGGGCTTTATTATAAGTAAACAGGGAGGCCCGAATTTGGTGGTCCCACTATTGCTATCTCTGACAGGATGTTCAGGGGGGGGGGGTAATGGCCGCACGTTCCTGTCGAATATACGCTGAATTTGAGAATATGTTATAGTCCGAGAGGCATTCTGAACAGAATGCCCGAATTTCAAGCTGCTGTAATGGATGGTTTTGAAGCTAGAGGCCGCTGAAGTCTCAATCACGATTTATTTGCTCCTGGTGAATAATGCTATTTGAACTATTATTATATTCGTATTCAATGAGAAAAGCACAAAGTCATCTTCACGACTTTTTGAAAACATCGAATTAGGAACAGGTTTCGGATATATGCAATGTCCATCTTCAGCCTATGCTGAGAAGTCCTACAATACAAGGAGATACATCATACAGAGCGGGCCTTTGAAAACGAAACAGAGGCTCTGTAGGTCGCCAAAACCGGATTATGAAAAAAATCTGAGACACATCAACAACATTTTCTAGGGGGACATCGTTCTAAAATACTTTCAGCCCTGCGGCGTTGCCGCTTCTGACGAAAAGAAGCAATAACTGTTATTTCAAATGGAACACCTTGTATTTTATTGCATTTTCAGATTCTCCCCGAAGAGCTGATTTCATCAATGCATCACACTTGGGGTCTAGCTGTAATGGTTTCAGGGATATAAAGTGTTCAAAATCGAGATTTTTCTACTTTAGCATTTTTTGTGTCGAAACTATTCATTATTGGTCAAAACGGCTTTCATGTCCCTATCTCAACTTGTGTTATTTGAAACATGTACAGGGTGGTTCAAGATTCAGAATTCTGATCACCCTGTATCTGTTCCAATTAAACGTTAGTAGATAGTAAATCACAAGTTGAGATAGGGGCAAGGAAGCCGTTTTGACCAATAGTGAATAGTTTTCGACACAAAAAAAATGCTAAAGTTGAAAAATCTCGATTTTTAACACATTATATCCCTGAAACCATTACACCTAGACCCCAAGTGTGATGCATTGATGAAATCAGCTCTTCGGAGAGAATCTAAAAATGCAATAAAATACAAGGTGTTCCATTTGAAATAACAAAGTTGTTGCTTCTTTTCGTTGGAAGCGGCAACGCCGCAGGGCTGATAATATTTTAGAACGATGTCCACCTCGAAAATTTAGTTGACGTGTTTCAGATTTTTTTCATTATTCGGTTTTGGCGACCTACAAGCCTCTATCTGTTTCGTTTTCAAAGACCGACTCTGTATATGAATCGCTTTTTTCACAAAGATGGTACTCAAATGGAAATGAGAAGGTTATGTTACAACCCCCAAACATGGAAAGTCAAATTATGGAGGACGATGAGGCTTAACAATTAACAAACTATTGTTAAGGAGGATGAAAAACTGAAAAAAGAATAAGAGACGTCACAGGTTGAATGGTAAAATCCGTTCCACACTCCACAGCCCATGTCACAAGATGTCTGACCATGTCAAACCATCAGTTGTCAGAGGTCAAACGTCAGTAATGACACAAAACACAATGACAGAGCTGCACAAAATAACAAAACCAGAAGCTGTATAAAACACCAGTGGGAATTAACCTATGATTCACAATACCAATATCATAGTCGTAGACCAAGGAGGGGGAAATTAAATAAACTTTGAAGAGTAGTAAATTTTGTGAAAATCGAAGTGGGCTTATTGTTTATTGAGAGAATTAACGTTATATCATTTGTTCAAGGACGCATGAATTTCGAAAATTGTTAGAAAGTTCAATGTAGAACCTATAGAATCTTTTTCGAAATTGAAAAAGATTTTGTTCGTCTGGCTATCTTGAATTTCTTGAATTTTTCCTACTGGCTAACCCTCAACCCCTGTATCAGTACAGTCGAGATCAATATGTAGAAAATTGCGATTTTTTCATAAACAACTTGCCCTATCTATTTGAATTAGTTAACGTTTTCCACATAAAAAACCTTCAGATATCACATTCATTTTACATATACCATAAGCTATTGTTTTCCACCAATCCACTACGTTTCGTTAGCATTATGCGATGTACCTAATTTGATGATTTTTCAATGAAAGGTTTCGGAAATATATAGGAAAAACCGTCTCCTGGGTGTACTTACTATATGAAGGGCCTCCTTTAGTCCTTAGGAAGCATATGGGAGGAAGCATTTATCAATAAAAGTTTATTGGAACTTTTTTCCATTACAATATTTCAGGAATAATCTCACGAATATTTTATCAATCATCAGCCTGTATATTATTATGCGGAAAAAAACCCAAACAAATCATAACATAAACTGGGCGTCAATTGAAACGTTAATAGTGAAATTTGGCATCAAGTTTGACTTCTCGTAATTTCTAAAATATTGAACGAATTTTGAATTGCCGCCCAGATTCTGAATTCATTTTTCATCGTCTTCCGAACCATTCCTTACAGCTTCTTCTAAATTGATCAGGACCCGTGATACAGGGTGAAACAAAGTTTCGTGCATTTTGAAGAAAATTTCTCCGCCCCCCCCACTTTGTCGGAAGACCACGATGCTCATATTTCATTCGGGCATTTCATAAATTGCAACCATACCACGGGATGTTTTCGAGTTTTTGCCAAAAACTACTGTGGTTTCCGAAAAAAAAATGTTTTGAATTTTTTTTAAATGGACTGATTATACCTGTATCATCAAAACGAAGAATCAGTCTATTTATTGTCATGACTGACTTATTGAAAATTTTACTTAAATGAGTTTGGGTATATCCTAATCGTCGTAGCCTGAAATAATAATTATCTGTACTGAATTATAGTTTATATCACTATAGTGATTTTACCTAATGATTTTCCATTTCGACCCGATTTGAACGAGGCATCTCTAAATTTTTTAGGACCCGAATTACACTGACGTTTTCATGAAAATTGGTAATTGATATAACCTCTATACATATCTACATTGTTTCAACAATACGTTGGTATAGAAACAAGGTATCGTTGTTTGTTTTTGTTGATGAGATGTGTTGATTTACTGCTCACTAAGGTAGAAAACTTTTATCATAGACTACAAAGTAATAAATTATTGATTGTTTTTGAGTAACCTGGTATACATATCTGCTCCAACGCTTTCCTGAAATGCATAATAGCATCCATTTATAGAACTCCTCTAAAAGTAGTCCATTTAAAAAAATACAAAACATTTTTTTTTGGAAACCAGTAGTTTTTGGCAAAAACTCGAAAACGTCCTGAGGTATGGTTGCTATTTATGAAATGCCTGAATAAAATATGAGCATCGTGGTCTTCCTACAAAATGAGGGGGGGGGGGGGCAGAGAAATTTTTTCCAAATGCACGAAACTTTGTTTCACCCTGTATCACGGGTCCTGATCAACTCAGAAGGAGCTGTAAGGAATGGTTCGAAAGACGATGAAAAAGGCATTCAGAATCTGGGCGGCAATTCAAAATTCGTTCAATATTTCAGAAATTACGAGAAGTCAAACTTGATGCCAAATTTCACTGTTAACGTTTCAATTGACGCCCAGTTTATATAATCATGGTCAGTACAATTGATTGATTCCAGCCTCATGTTCGCAACGTGTCATGAACATACTATTTTACTATCCATTTGTTTGGTGAATTGAGCAGAAAAATCACAGGTTCACCTGGTCCCTAGGGGGGGGGGGAATCATGATCCCCATGACCCCCTTCCTGGATCCACCCTTGAGTATTCATTATCTTTTGATATACCTAATATATTTTTAAAAATTATTCGTGTATTCGATCTTCTGAATTCAAAGCCAACTATGGTATCTGAAATAATGCAGTTTGCTTCAATATCGAACAATTGATGAGTAAAAATCAAACTTCAGACAGCTGGGTTAGTTTTTCTCAAGCTTTTCTGGAAATATGAATCATTAACAAAATCAGAAGTAATTTGGGACCCCCTGTATGGAAGATCTTATTGGAACACACGATAACAAGGATATTTAATCGAATCGAATGTTATTCTTATAGCCTTATACGAATACAGACGTCGATATATCGATTTTTCCCAAAACCTTTGAGTGATTTATACAGGGTATGTCACGACGATCTTACACTATCTTCATATCGAGAACCAGTCGGGAGAAATCGATGAAAATGTGCATGCTCATATTTAAGAATACGCTCTCCTCATTTCAAATATTTTAGACAATGCAGTGATGCCGCTCCTACTAGAAAATAGTTGCAACATTGAGATTTCAAACGGAACTCCCTGTATTTTATCGCATTTCTAGATTATCCCTTAAGAGCTGATTTCATTGATAAATCACACTTGGAAAAGAAAAAGATTACAGATATATTGGGTGTTCAAAATCGAGATTTTTCAACTATCGGTCAAAACGGCTCACATGTCTCAATCTCAACTTTTGATTCACTATTTACTGATATTTAATACGAACAGGTACAGGGTGGTTCAAGATTCAGAATTCTGATCACCCTGTATCTGTTCCGATTGAATATCATTAAATAGTAAATCAAAATTTGAGATAGGGACACGTGAGCCGTTTTGGCCGATAATGAATAGTTTCGACACGAACAAATCCTAAAGTTGAAAAATCTCGATATTCAACACCAAATATCTCTGTAATCATTTCCGATAGACCCCAAGTGTGATGCATTGATGAAATCCGCTCTCCAGGAAGAATCTAAAAATGCAATTAAATACAGGGTATTCTATATGAAATAACAAAGTTGTGGCTACTTTTTGATAGAAGTGGTATCAGTGCATTGCTGAAAATATTTAAAATGAAGAGAGCGTACACTAAAATATAAGCATGCATATTTTCATGAATTTCTCCCAACTGATTCTCGATATAGAGATAGTGTGAGCTCGTCGTGACATACCCTGTATAATTCAACCATATATTCTTCGTTTCAGTTTTTCTTCTCATCATTACTGTTATGCTATGGAATAATTTTCGCTGAAAATGTAGGAATTGGAACATATAACGTGAAGGGTGGCCTGTGGACAACTATATTATACATTTCAACATACCAAATTATTGGTGAGTTGAATCTGATAACCTTGGGAATATCGGAAGCACATTTACCTCCACGGTTACCTTGTGTTTTCAACAGCAGTCTCATACATCCAAGACCAAATAATGTCTACAAAAGAAAAAAATCTGCTTGGTGTACATGGTAGGTATGCACGCGGATGGAAGTAAAACATGGAATTTCACCTTTGTTATTTTACTTGATCATTCTGGATTTTCTCTCCTCGTTTCTATAAAATACAGATATGAGTTTTATTTCAATAAATGTGTAGTAGGACAAATCAGATGATTTGCCCCGAAATGTCACTGGGTTTGAAAAAATTTTTATCAGGGAGCTTATTAGAAAAATCCAATAGCTTGTCTGCCTGTGAGTGACACTTTGTTTGGAAAAATGTTTGAAAAGAAGAAATATAGATATATTGGAGAGATATAGAGTTTTTACTTATCTTTGGACGTTTAGGGAATGAATCTGCTCCCGTTCTCAACATCATAATGCAAAATATTTTTCTTCGAAAATGTTTTTCTTATAGTTTGACACCTCTTAGTGACCTAATGATTTCGGCATATGGTTAAGTGATGATTTTATCATAAAAATTAGTTTCAGGATGTTTTTATCAATTGATCTTGAATCTACCATTTTCATGTTCTGTTTTCAGTAGCGAATACCACGTTCTATCTATATCAACTGAACAGGAAGCAATTCTATTGTCTCCGTTCAGAAGAATGCAAGCAGATTCCTTGATTTTCCTCTTATGGTTGTTATCTTCCTTTCCTATGATGTTATTATTATTCCACTCTGCCATATGTTGTCCATTTTCAGTAAGGATATGTTCAGTTAGCTTTGATTTATCTCATTGTATTTTCAGTTCTGAACACTGTTTTCACGTGAAACTTATTATCACTAACACGTTTTATTTTCTGAGATATGCCGGAAATGAATGGTATTATATTATAACAACAAATACAGGTGGAATGAAGAGACCTCTCTCAGTAAGGATGAATGAACACAAGTACAATATCAAGAAGAGACACATCGATAACTCAAAGCTAACTGATCATATACTCACTGAAAATGGACAACATATGGCAGAGTGAAATGATATTGAAATCGTAGGAAAGGAAGATAACAACCAGAAGAGAAGAATCAAGGAATCCGCTTGCATTCTTCTGAACGGAGACAATGATATAATAATATTGAAATCATAGGAAAGGAAGATAACAACCAAAAGAGAATAATCAAGGAATCCGCTTGCATTCTTCTGAACAGAGACAATGATATTGCTTCCTGTTCAGTTGATATGGATGAATCATTTGTATACTAACATCATTACTCATCCATATGCCAACATCAGTATGTCACTAAGAGGGGTCAAACTATAAGAAAAACATTTCTTTTTATCTATATTTCTTCTCTTCAAAGATTTTCCCAAACAAAGTGTCACTGACAAGTTATTGGATTTTTCTTTCAGGCTCCCTGATGAAAAATGTATTGAACGCAGTGACATATTTTGGGGCAAATCATCTGATTTGTCCTACTACACATATATTGAAATAGTACTAATACTTTTATTTTGAAGAAACGAGGAGAGAGAATCCCAAATATTCAAGTAAAATGAATGTACCACCACCTTGATTAACCTACAGACAGTATTCACCTTTGTTACCTCAAAAATTGAGTATTGTGTCACCCAACTCTGAAAATTTTATTTCGTCACAGTTTGCCACCCCGAAAATTAGAAATTGCTTTAATTTGAAAATGAAAACGACTTGGACTTTATCGGTCATCATTCTGTACAGTGTGGACATAAAACAGGAGAGTTCCGAACTCTTTTCATGAAAATTCATCTGAAGAAATCTTTCCACTTTTGAGACAATTGATTTTTTATTGATAATTAGGAATACGTATTATACTGATTATACCAATAAATAATTGAGACTTCATGAATTATTGAATAGATAATATTTCTGGAGTTCCTAGTCGTAATTCAACATATGGCGACTGTGCTATGGTCTGTCCATACTTTTACGTAACTGTGACGTCAGTTTTTACTCGCGGTAACTTTTTAGCCGTTTGAAAATTACCGTGGCATTATTGATGACTTTAGCACCTTAAAATTGACCGAAAAATTCTGAGAAAAATATGGAATTGAAAGGTATTCGAGTGATAATTCGATTTGAGTAATGAAAAATTTTAGTCCACTCTCCTATACATCTCAAAATTTCGAATTATAGCGCTTGACTCCTTTTTGCAATACAGGGACAATGTTTCTGCTGTAAGGCTTCCATTACAGCATAGCCCTTTTCGGTAATTCTTGTGTTCCTAGACTTTGAATGGACATTGGCAAGATGGTTCTCTCATAAAATGTATACCTATTCGATTCCTTTTGCTTCATTGATGAGGTGGTTTCCTTTGTATTAAGTCCGCATTTTAGTTGCCACTCGGAGTCGTGTTCAGGATATTACTTAGTTGCAGGCAACAGTAAATATTTGCCTATCATCTTACTTTTTCTGTAATACTCAATTACAATGTATAGGTTGATTAATTTATTCAGTGATAACTCTACATTCTATTATACAGTGTCATTTGTGATGCTAAATACTGGCTTTGCTGTATAATTCATCTGTCATTTATTGTTTTAATATCCCTCTGACTTGTTGATATTTAAGACTGCATCATAAACCTTGGCTTAGCATTTTGTTGCAGAATGAACTTTTGCATGACGCATGAGGAGAAAAAAGGAGAAGCTCATCATCTTACTCACTCGTATACTAATGTTTCCGAGCACCAAGTGACATGAATCGAAGTCATGAATATCATACTGTCTGTCTCCTCGTTTCTGTAGGATAAAAATATGAGTACTATTTCAACATATGTGTAGTAGGACAAATCAGATTATTTGCCCCAAAATGTCACTGCGTTTATTGAATTTTTCTATCAGGGAGCCCAAAAGAAAAATCCAATAGCTTGACAGTGACACTTTGTTTGGAAAAATTAAGTGAAGAAATATAGATATATTGGAAAAATATGGAATCTTCCTTTCCTATGATTTCGATATTATTCCTCTCTGAAAAATCAAAGAATCCACTTGCATTGTCCTGAACGGACACAATAGCGTTGCTTCCTGTTCAGTTGATAAAGATAAAGCATGGTATTCACTACTGAAAACTGAACATGAAAATAGTAGATTTAAGATCACTTGATAAAAACATCATGTAACTCATTTGGATACTAACATCATCACTTATCCACATGCCAACATTAGTATATGTCACCGAGAGGTGTCAAACTATAAGAAAAACATGTTCGAAGGAAAATATTTTGCATTTTTATGTTGAGAACGGGAGCAGATTCGTTTCCGAAACGTTCTAAGACAAGCAAAAATTCGATATTTTTTAAATATATCTGTATTAAATGTATTAAACGCAGTGATATTTCGGGGCAAATCATCTGATTTGTGCTACTACACATATATTGAAATAATACTCATATTTTTATTTCATAGAAACGAGGAGAGAAAATTTCAATTAATCAAGTGAAATGGATTTTGAGTAACGGTTTGTATCCTTCTGCGCAAGGCGCAGAAGCGTCATCAGTCGAGCAATTTTAATGGAATTTTTGAGTTGTTAAGGTATGATGGAGATATTATGATATACAGGGTGTTAACAAATAAGTGTCACAACGGAAAGCTGTAGATTCCTCATAATAAAAGAAACATTTCATTCCTCTTCAAATTTTTTCTCTAGGCTTCCGTTTCCATGATACAAGGTGTCACAAAATCAAAAATGTTCAATTTAATTAAACACACTACACACTATACAACACCAAATGAACTTGACAATTTGAAAACCAGCATCGAGACCAGTATACTCAAGAACCTCACATTTGATTGAACATATTCTTAGACAGTTCTGAGGTGTTTATTTTCAGTGGATTTTTAGATGATTTTTGGGGATACCATCAGGATTTTGTATGTTCTTATTCAAAAAGAGTTATTTTTCGCAGAAACTATTCACTTTAGAGCATTGAGACAGGAGGACGTTTTTTGTGTGAAAGATATTGGCGCTTCAGAATCTACTCTGAAAATTACAATTTCTCCAGTGGCATAACTGTTTGGGAGGTTGAACCCTTACGAGGCGTTGAATTCTCCTCCACTGACATGTCCAAGGAAATTGATCAAGAGCCCTAAAAGTAGTCATTATTGATGATGAAGTGTGTACGAAGGCTTAACTCCGTAGCTCAAACGGTTCCTAAGATAGTAGCAAAAAACTGATTTTTTTGTATTATTTTGACGCCCTGTATCTTGAAAACGGAAGTCCGGAGAAAAATTTCGAAAGAGAAAAAAATGTTTCCTTTATCATGAGGAATCTACAGTTTTCCGTTGTGACACTTATTTGTTAACACCCTATATAACAGGCCATTAGATAGTATATTCTGATGCCGGCGTGAATCACGTCACTCTGCGTGTCATTTGAATTTGTTAGCATTTCCGCGCCATACCATGATAGGTTGAACGTTGAAAATAATGAAAAAAATTAAATGCCACCATAAACGGTAGGTACTCTATTTCTAAAACGTTATCAAAAGGGTTGATTGTTCATATCAACGACCTCAGTAACTATCTAGATTTCGGGGTAGGAAGTCGTACTTTAAATCCCTAGGGAATTGAAGTTACTTCAAATCTCTGAGGATTTATAGTACCACTTTTTTCCCCGAAAATAGGGAATAAAAGCATCCTTTAAATTCCTGAAGTGCATAAAATGAAAATTTGAATATTTCTGCCATGCTCAAGTCAATGTCAAATTGGCTCTTTGAATTTGAAATCCATTATAGATACAATATGTTTGAATATATAAATGTACTATGGTGTTAAAAATATTGAATAATGATCACAACCTCGTTATCAAGAACACTGATTTTTAGAGGAAATGATGATTACCACCACCAGCCATTCAAGTAAATTGTGCTTTTGGCCTTACATCCATCTTTATTTGATATTAGTTTATTTCTATACATTGTATCTATATTAGTCTGTCAGAAATGAACATTATTATTATCATTGTTCAAGAATCATCCATATTGAAACTACTCCACTTCTCCTGTTCGATGTGTAAAACAATGCATGTATATCTCTGCTTCTGAGAATCATTGAAGTAGGACTCAATCGAAATTCACAGTACTGAAGAAACTATTTTCATATTTTCCTTTAATTTTCAGCTCCTTGGTCCAAACGCTTAGTTGGTGAATGGTATGAAGTACACGAAAACAGAAATATAATATTCAGATGTATTGTATTCATACTTACGTGTCTATTGATCTTAGGTGTGATGTTCTCTGGGTTTCCTGTATTTTATGGAATTTGTGGAGGTTAGTAGATATTTGATATTCAGAGCTATTCGATGATGCAGTATCCCAAAAACATTTCTCACGTTTTTTAATTCATTCAACAAAGATGAATTCGTCTTGAAATATTGGATAAGATTATGTATACATTATCAATAATTTCGTATCATTTAACCTTGTTTTCTAGGACTAACACACAGCATGGTATCAACTCAGCTGACGTTTATAGCGATGAGGAAATTCAAAATGGATGAGAGAAAAATCGAACGTAATTTACAACCAGCGAAGGCCATCTCTTTGTTGATTTTACCTCATGTCATGTTAGTCCTAGTAGATAATTATACTATCGCTCAGAGTTTCCTGATATATGCAGCGTTTCTTCTCAACATTATACCGGCTAGTTGGATAATAAGATACAATCAAGATTCTGATGATTTAGTAGATTATCCAGATATGTCTCGCTACCAAACTCTTTCAGTGTAAGTTCAAAGTAATACAGTCAAGAGACTTACGGATGATAGGTACGTACCTATCATCCGTATAACATGCCTACATTGTCTATATTATTCATACTTTTCGAAACGGTGAAGCATTTTTTTAAGGGGATGTAGAATTCCTTGAAATAAACAGATCTACAAAATATCGCCTCGATGAAAGTTGCATATTAACGGGGATATTATCACTTTTAATCTAACTAACGGAATAATTAGTTGAAATTACCATAATATTATAGGAAACTCTAAAATGCCTAACTTCACTTGTTAGTTCAGTTATGTATAACTTTTATTTCGGCTATTTTAATTTCCCGATGTCCGATATTGTTAACCACATTTTGTAGTTTACGTTCACTATTGCAGAGGTAAAGTAAACTTATTGTCAAGGAGTATTGTTCTACGATCGCATTAGAAAGTATTACGATCTTCCAACTGCAAAAATGTGGTGAATTCCTCTGCCCGATTTTTCTGCTTGTCCGTTAGCAACACCAAACCTCGGTGCCATTCATCCATCACTATGGGTTCCCACAGCTTGAATTGGTTGCCAGAGACTTGTTGACCAGTACTTGGCCATCTGGACATATATCTACAAATCGCCCCATCCTTGCCGCAGATGTACAGAAATTGTCCATCTGGCCAAAAATAGATGTTCCCAAAATGCTTCATCAGTCGAGCGACCGCGGTATATCCGCTCCACACCCCTTAATGCAGTGGTTGGGATTGAAGGGGAAGAGGAAAAGGGAAGTTGTTCAAGGAAGGCCGATGGGACAAATTAAAAGAGGAAGAGAGAAGAGGATATATCACCGTCCATACCGCCTTCTCCTCCAGGGCTCCAATACCAGCCAGGCAAATCAGAAACTAACGAGGAAGAAATGTTGACAACATAAATATGGACTTGGCAACAATTCTCGAATGCGGATCCAATAACTTGGTAGATTTCAATGCAAACAAAACACAAGCTTGCCTTTTCTCTAGAAGAGCCGATCTCACTATGCCCAACATTAGCTTGTCAGGAGTAACCATACCTTTGAAGACATCCATTTCGATGCTTGGTATTACTATCAGCAATAACCTTTCTTGGGGAAATCGCATGAGATCAATTGCTAAATGTGCATCCCAAAAACTTGGTTTTCTGTTTCGGGCCAGCAGCTATTTCAATTCCAGTCAGTTGCTTAAGATTTATAAGGCACAGATCCGACCTGTCCTGGAATACTGTTTCCATATTTGGAGTGCAGCACCCAAACATACCCTGAAACTGTTGGATTCTGTCCAATTTCTGGAACACCGTAAAAAAGTTGGCGATCTGGCTCAATTTTATAGATATTTCTATAGACGATGCTCTTCTGACATATCATCAATTGTTCCTGCCTTGGCAGTCCCCGCGAGATTAACCCGTCGAGTTGAGGCGTCGCACCCCTTCGTGGTCACTTTGGAGACCTGCAGAACATATCTTGCCAAAGACTCGTTCATCCAACGATCAGCGGGGCTCTGGAACACATTGCCAAGGCAGGTATGCCCCGAGGCTTATAACCTCCAGAAATTTAAGAAGAACACCAATTCCTACCTTATTTTCCTTGATTCGCAGGATGTTCTCTGAATATTATATATCCCTTTTCGTGAGAACCAGAACATAAAAAAAACAAGTCGAAGTTTGGTGAATATCCGGTTAGGGTGCCTCGGGTTCACCATTCCCGTACTCAAAAGTTGTGAGCCCCTGAGGGGACCTAAATCCTCGCGAATTCTTCCATTGGAGAAATTTTAAAATCTTGCAGGGAATAAATCATCTGGTTAGTATAGGCACAACCAGATATCTTGTCACTTTGAATATTTTTTTGTTTCTATAGCCAGAACATTGTCGACCTAAATGAAAACCTAGAAGGCGACCTAGTGCGAGGAGGTTTTATAGCTCCTTCTTACTAACTAGCTAACTAGGTTGTCATTTAGAACGACAATGGCCAGAATATCGTTATGGTATCAAATTAATATGGTATCAACAACGATCTTTATCTGGTTGTGCCTACATTAACCAGAATATCGTCGCGGTAGCATACATTTTTATTGATGCAGGGAAAGAAACACGCTTGAAAAGTTGTTCGACGGGAAAAAGATAGTATTTTTGCAGTTGCATATCCTGTTGAAAAAATGCCTCACCATCGAGAATACCATGTAAAGGTATAAATAATTATGAAAATCAATGTTCGATTGATTGTACGAGTATAGTTCATTAGAAGAAGCCACTGTACATTAACTAAATATTCAGTGTCATATGAGAAAAACATTAATATTAATCAAATTTGAAATTTCAGTTGCCTTAAAAAAGATGAAAAATATCTAAATCAGTTGGATCACGTGACTTTCGCTACATATCAGAAGTTCATTTTTTTCAAATTAATCGGTGAAAAGCTTAATCTGTCAGAATTTCAAGAAAACTTAGGAAGAAAAGTTATTTCTATTTCAATCTTACACATGTGTCTCGAATTTTATCATTCTATCGCAGCTTTTATTTCTTGATATTTTTTGATTTCTTCTAATAATTGCAACTTCAACTAAACTTTCCCAAACTTTGGTTAGATAAGTAGTTCGATGACATTTTGATAGATGACTTTGGCTTTGTATGGTACTGAAAAATTCAACTTTACTTCAAACATATAAATTCTGAGCGTGGATTATCATTTTCTGAACAACAAAATCATATTTTTGCCGATAATTAGGTGAAAGTTAGAAGCATGATGAAGCTACTAGAATGAAAAAGTTATGTCGGTGTTAGTTTTTTTAATGATACACATTTCGAAAAAAATTTCAAAAAATCAGAAACTAAAAGTTGTGATGAACTTTCAATTTCGAGATACAAAATGTGAAATAAAATCAACTTTTCTTTGTAACCTTTTTTAAATTTCAACAAATAAGTTTTTTTCCAGCGATTAATTAGAAAAAAAATTAACCTTGGACATGTAGCGACAGTCACGTGACCCCGACCGAGTAGTATATTTTTCATATTTTTCGATGCACACCTGTACGCTTAAGCCAAATTTCGAAAAAAATGATTACTAAAAGTTCTCCTCATATGATGCCGACTTTATGAATGACACTGTATATCATTTGTGAAGTTCTCACATTCTCTATATCTATATCTACCTCCTATGTTTGTTCATAAGTTCATTCGTCTTGCTGTAACCGACTGTATACTGATTTTCAGATTAACACGTCAAATGGCAGAAATGAAAGAATTCTCAAAATCTCCTCAATCGCCTCTTTTTCAAACCAGCACTTCCGATTCCTCATCGGTAGAAGCCGAAGAAGAAGCAATCGTGAATGAAAATGACATTCCTGAAAATGACACTCCTGAAAATGACGCGGAGACACCCCGATTCATCATAGGCGCTGATGTTGACGATAAAGGAGACGCTGAGCTTAACGATGATGGTGAACACTTGACGACAATCAAACAACTGACGCATCAGACCGTCGATTTCTATTACAGCAATATGGGAGTGAACATTTTACCAGGGATACCCGAAGAGCCAGAAATAGAGACAGAAAAAGATTCAGATAGCTCAAAAAGGAATACGATAGACCCGAAAAGGTTGAGCAGGATAAGTGCAGCTTTGGAAGAGTTGAACCAAAAAGACAATACAGAGAAGGAAGTTGTGGAAAAACCACTTTTAGTTACGACTATCATAGTTGAAACTCCTGTAGTGGAGGTAACCAGGAAAATTGAGGAACTAGCTACAGATTTGAAAGAATTGAATCATGATAGAGATGGAGGAAACACAACTGCGGAGGAAGGAATAATTGTGACTGATGTTTTGGTCAAAATGCCTCCTACAGATATCGTTGAAAATATCAAAAGTATCGAGTATATTCATGACACTAATTCAAATAATAGAAGGAAACCGTTCAGGGATTTACGCGACTATTCCAAATTTAATTGCTGCAAGTGTTCCCCATATAATATTTACATATGGAAGCATAGATTCAGAAGTACCAGATACTTTCTAACTCACTTATTCCAACCGCTCTACTATTCGTTGACAGATCTTCATTTTTACCCTACGTTAGTGTCTAAAGTAGCTATCCTTCTTAATTCAACCATTTTCTTCACTCTGGCGCCCCATCTCTTTCTCAAGAAGAACAGTGACTACAAGAAGGAAGCCACGGCATTTTTGTTATCCTATATGGCGTTCTCTTGGTGCATATTTTTGGTATTTTTGCCATTGGTGGTGACTTTTTCCAAAGTGAGGATGAGATACACGTTCAGTATTGGTCTGTTAGTCAATGCATTCAGTATGTTACGTAAGTATCTTGTATTTGCCTTTATGTCAGATCATCACACTGGTTTTAGTTATATTTAAACATTGACGTGATAGAAGCATGCAATCATTCGGAAGTTAGGCGATAAATCAATAAAGTTACCTCATTGGCTCCTCTTATATTATTTCGATCAAGGCCATCTCAAACTGTGCTGGAGCCCAGGTAGCACATGACGACTATATGACGTCTAATTGACGGCATTACATTCGGCCAAAAGACGTCTTTATTTTAACAAATGCGACGTCCAAATGACGTAAGTAAGACACATCCAAATGACGTCATATTTTAAAGTCTTTTAGACGTCAGTTTGTGTTTTCAAATTGGACCTTAAACTGACACTACTGACCAATTTCCGACGTCAATAAGACGTCTGTTTTTTTTATAAAATTTTGGAGTTAATGGTTATAATCTGGTGAGGAATGTAATCATTTGTGCTATAAAATGAATTTGCTACGAATGAAGATTTTATTAACAAGATAGTAATGTAAGGTATTACATATAGTTGAAAATTTCTTTTGTATGTTTTGTGTATAATTAAATGGCGGCCAGAACACTTCCTTTTTCAACGGCGTCAGCCAAGTTTCGTGAACAACAGCTACACTGTTGCTTCCACTGTCATCACACACACAATACATCCTGAATACTTTCACGTGAAAAACAGACTGTATAGAAATACCACTCAAACACTCAACATTTTAACATTCTTAACAAATGCAATGGCACAGACGCCGTTCACAAACAACGCCCATTCGGACATGGACGATGGACAATGAACATGAACGGGAACGCACCATGCACGATGCAAGCTTGACGCTGAACCACAGACCGGACCGCTGAACGGCACTAACGCCACTAACGACAGTCGCGAGATGGTCGCGAGATGGTCGCGAGTCGCATACACAATCTCTTCACGTAATTACTTGATCGCCATTGGCCATCTGGTCGGTAATGTGAGAATTGTCTTTGGCGCTGAATTTAAACATTGAAAATAAAGGGAAGCCTATCTAGGAATAAAATACATTTTTATTATACATTTATACAGTTATTTGGTTAGATTAATTGATTTATTTCAGTACTTCGTTTTCCTATACATAGGTACATAATAATAACTTGGTCCCAGTGATTATTCACCTCACAGACTGTGAGGAGTAGTCACTGGATTTTATCCAGCACGACTCTGCGTGACGTCGGAGGCCGCAGGGTCGTGACTGGAATTATATGAACTCAAAGTATAATAATAATAATAATAATAATGATAATGATAATGATAGTGATAATGATAATGATAATGATAATAATACCCAAGAAAATATGAAGACCATAGATTGACGTCTATACGACGCCAAACAGTGGCTGTCCATAAGACGTCACATTAATGACGTCCGCATGACGTCATAATTTGGTCAAAAAACGTATGAGACCAAAAAAGCCCTTAGATAGCGGTCCTATAGACGTCACATTCGTCAGTCTGGCTACCTGGGAGGTCTTGGGCACACAAGAATTTAGGACTCTTTTGGAATGTAAAGATCGTATCATACTAATACAGGGTATGTCACGACGAGCCTATTTTAGAATACGTTCTCTTCTCATTTTTATCTGCTGACGTGAAAAAACGCAAGCTTGGTCTGATTCAACAGTTTTCATGAAAATTATGATTTGATGAGATTCAACTTGCTTAATTCTTACAGCTGAATCAATCTCGTGTACGAAATCTTGAATGTAAATGATTTAACTCATTTGATTTCTACCCTTCAATTTCTTCTCCAGAGCTGATAATTCCTGGGTTTGACTCATTTATATTTCTGGGGAGAAAACCTGAATATTAAAATTTTTTTTCTACTCACATAGCTAAAATGACATTTTTTTACTCACATAACTGAAATGGCATTTAGCGTACGGATATGTACCACGCTAAATGATCGATTAATCACGGATTGACGATCTGTGATTTATTCAAAATATCAAACACGTTACCATGGCAACACGATTTCTTAAACACATTACCATGGCAACGCAGTTCATTAAACACAGCTTCCATATAATTTAAGACATGTCTGGCCTATCAATTGTAGGAACTGTCAACTGTCATTTCCGAATTTTGTATCATAATTATTCAAACAATTTTCGTTTGAATCAGAATTTTTTATTAAAAATATATGCGAAATGTAGACAAAAGTGAAATCGAAGAGACTGTTTTGGTACTTGCATATCTCCAAGAAGTGTAGAATTGAAGCATCCATCTTTGAGAACTATTTATTCATTATGCGCTTAGCATGACAATGAACGTGAAACAAAGGTTAGTGAGCAATGGACTGGACACATCTACAACCAATATCGCTTATACGTGTCTCGCTGGTTGCATGCAGTTGCATGTATTATGTTTTCAATTCCCATTCCTTTCGAATTATTTTGTAGGTTAGCAGGAATAGCATGTATGTCAATGTAATTTTTGGAGTTCGTAGAAAAAGCATAGTATGGAACGCGTTTATAAACTCTTCTGGACACTCGTTTATTAAACACTCGCTCCGCTCTGCTCCGCTCGTGCTCAAAATACTCGTTACTAAATGGACGTTTATAACACTTGTTACATAACATACTATTAGCGTACGGATATGTACCCCGCTAAATGATCGATTAATCACGGATTGACGATCTGTGATTTATTCAAAATATTAAACACGTCACCATGACAACACGATTTCTTGAACACATTACCATGGCAAAACAGTTTATTAAACACAGCTTCAGTAAATTGAGACATGTGTGGCCTGTCAATTGTATTAACTGTCAATTGTTATTTTTGAATTTTGTATCAGAATTATTCGAATAATTTTCGTTTGTATCAGAATTCTTCTTTAAAAATATATGCGAAATGTAGATGAAAGTGAAATCGAAGAGAATGTTTTGGTACTTGCATATCTCCAAGAAGTGTAAAAATGAGGCATCCATCTTTGAGAACAATTTATTTATTCTGCGCTAAGCATGCAGCGAGCATGACAATAAACGTGAATGACAAAGGTTAGTAAGCAATGAACTGGACACATCTACAACCAATATCATTTAACGTGTCTTGCTGGTTGCATGCAGCTATTGCAGTTGCATGTATCATGTTCTCAATTCCCATTCCTTTTGAATTATTTTATAGGTTAGCATGAATAGCATCAGGTATGTTACCGTATGTTAATGTAATTTTCGGAGTACGTAGAAAAATCATAGTATGTTACGCGTTTATAAACTCGTTTATTAAACACTCGCTCCGCTTTGCTCCGCTGGTGCTTAATATACTCGTTACTAAAAGGACGTTTATAACACTTGTTACATAATATACTATAACCTACAGCGACTATAGAAAGTAGACAGGAACACACGAGATAAAGCGTCAGTAAGTAGCTCTTTACGCACAGTAAGCAGTGATCGAGTAATCGCCGTCAACAGCGGATGACATAACTGTCAAGAAATATAATTCAGACTGTTTGTCCAAGCTTTCTTTTTGTACTACATGTCAGTAGGTAAAGTATAGTACGTAATGCGTGTTGTAACGTGTGTGACTTTCCCATTCGTGCGTAATGTGCTTTTTACAACACATATTACGTAATATACTATTATATTTTGACATATGCTCTTGTGAATCATTGAAGTTTAGTAGAGTCCAACATTTTGTTACGAAGATAATAAAATTTCAAAGTTCCAATTACTGTCGTTGGGAACTATGCAGGGTGATTTTTTAAAAATGGACAATCTCTGAACTACAGATAGTAAACACCATAATATTGAGATTCCGCCCAAAATATCTTATAAAAATGTAGTTTTGAAGATGTTGTTCAAGGAACATATTTTTATTTCAAAATTCCTCAGTTACTTTGTGAGTTTTCATAGCATGAAGATAACATTTTGTAGTTCCAGGTTTCCTGACATGAGAAATAAGAATATGTAATTTATTTTGTGATTGCCCATAGAGAACGCAAGTGGCACTCAGGTACTTTAGCAAATTACATAATATCCTCTTTGTCCATTTTTAATGATGGTTGAAGTGAGCTGAGAATCCGAGAGCCTGTTCAATTTTACATAAAAAAGTACTCTCTTTCAGAGTGTCTAGGTCTAATTGTTTTTGCGTTATTCCTCAAAAGGCCCGCTGAGTGATACTGAATTGAAAAACAGTAAGTGATAATGTCAAAGTAAATGTTCGACCAAAAAGTTATTGAGAAATTTTAAAATAAAATTTTCTCAGTGAACACCAATGTTTTTATAAAGCACGCTGGACCTTACGGTGTTTCTATTTGTAGTTTAGAGATTACCCATACTTTATTGATCACCCTGTATAAACCTTCAGATTTTGATTACATCAAACCAGAAAACAAAAACAATCCTACTACTCTATCTCATTTTCGAGAAGTGATCTCAGAACATGAGTATTGTGGAAAGACTTTACGTATTTCCATTGCCTACTGTATCCTGATCATGTATTTTTTATTTTCAGTACTCTCCAAACGGAAAATGAGCAATGACCTCATAACTTGGTTTTGCCTCCTTTTTGGATTTGGATTCGGTATGATCAACTTTTCTCAAAATTTGGTCTACAAATCTTTTCTTGACCAAAGGAAACCAGAAGCCAGCCAAGCAGCCCTGGACATCTTTTCTGGTTTTGCTGTGATATTAGCGTATTATTTTATTTCTATTAGTGAGTTGGATATAGTTAGGATATTTCCGATAGTGTCTTTCTATGCCTATGTGATAATGGCAGGTTTTTGGACAATTTTGAGTTGGTCTAAAATATGTATAAAGAAAATGAAGAAAAATATTCTAGTTTAACATTTTGGATCAACTGTGACGAAATATATGTTGCTATTTTTCAATGAAATATTTTATTTCCACTAGGCAGTTCAAATATACCAACATAATTGAGGAATATCAGTTGAATAAAATGTACACGGAGGAAAAAAATTGATTCAAATTACGAGATATCTTCAAGTATACTTTTACAAAAAAACTTTTTCTGCAATGAGGTTTCAATGTTTTGATTATTTTCTATTCCTTAATTAAATTGATCAGTGGCGTATAACTAGAATGTTAAGGAGGTCTCCCCTTCAGACTCAAATCACGAATAGTAAATAACAATAAAAGAAAGAGCTATACGAACTCAATTCATTCTATTCTACATATAACTTGACGAAATATTGCTTCGCATCGAAGAAAAGCCAATCTTGAAAATAATTTTAGATATCCTGAGTTTTAAAGTTTCGCCACCGAAGATCTACTGGAGATCTACTTGCCTACGTCACCCATGTATGGCAAGCTTCAATAGAAAAACACGGGGAATCTCTAGCTGTCGCGTTGGACATATCGAAAGCATTTGACCGTGTTTGGCACGAAGGACTCCTCCACAAACTACCATCATACGGCTTACCACCTCAGCTATGCCATCTCTTATCGAGTTTCCTTTCAGGCAGATCACTTCATGTGGTGGTGGACGGTGTATCGTCTGATACTATTGGCATCAATTCCGGCGTTCCACAAGGATCAATTTTGGCACCAACATTATTCCTTCTTCATATCAATGATCTGTTGGGAGTAACAACTTGCCCCATCCACAGCTTTGCAGATGATAGTACCCTCCATACTGCGTTCTCTTCCAGACTTCCCATTTCTTCCCAGGAAACTAAGAACTCACGGCGCAGGCAGGTCAATGCTGTCAATGAAGACCTTGCTGAAATCACAGCCTGGGGAACCAACAACCTAGTTGAATTCAACGCCACCAAAACTCAAGCCTGTATTTTCTCTAGAAAGGCGGAACTCAGTATGCCCGACATTGTAATGTCTGGCACCACCATCTCAACCAAGCCCACCATATCTATGCTCGGTATTTCCATCAGCAACACTCTTTCATGGGATAATCATGTCAGATCCATCGCGAAAGCTGCTTCACAAAAACTCGGATTCTTGTTCCGAGCGAAAAGCTACTTCACACCTCAACAGCTTCTCATGATCTACAAAGCGCAAATACGGCCTGTTCTAGAATACTGTTCTCACATATGGGGTTCAGCACCAAAACATACGCTGATGCTCTTAGATTCCATACAGAGAAGAGCCATCCGCCTGGTGGGTGACGCCACACTCACTCACTCTTTGACATCATTGGAACACCGTAGAAAGGTCGGCGACCTTTCACTTTTCTATCGATACTTCCACGGGAAATGTGCTTCGGAAATCTCTGCTATCATCCCTCCACTAGCAATACCAGTCAGACGAACTAGACAAGCCCAGTCAGCACATCCTTTCGTTGTCAACCTCGAAAGATGTCGAACAGCACTTTATCAAAACTCCTTCATCCATAGAACGGCTAGGCTCTGGAATTCATTGCCTGAGGAAGTATTCCCAACAACATATAACCTACAGAAGTTCAAAAAAAATTCCAATACCTACCTCCTATCCCTATCCTCCCTAGGAACGCACGATGTTCTTTGAACATTATAGGGATTCCCTTTCGTGCGCTCCAAGCGATAAAAAAAAAAAAAAAAAAAAAATGAAACTCGACGTTTTTTTTATAAACAAAAAGACTAAAAAAAAAAACATAACCATGAATAACTTTGGCTTCGAAATAACTTATTAGAGGCTAGAATTAATTTTTTCTCGCCTTATACACATCATTGGAAATTCATTAATTACACGAAAAAGAAAAAGAAATTGTTGAATCAAAAAAAAAATAATTAAATGAAGCGAATGGAAGTGTCATATATGCACGACAAAATATAATCTTGAAATGAGTATATCTTGTTTCAGAGCGAATTTGAAGTTTGAATTGAGTAAATATGTCCTGCATGAACTCTGGATCTTGTTCAATCAAGCAAATCCATGAATTGTTCATTAAGAGATATTGAATTGGCTCAAACAAACATCTTGTTTGATTAGAAAAAACAAGATATTGATTCAATCAAATATTCAGTTGATTCAATGAAATATTTGGTTGATTCAAAGGAGTATCTGGTTGGTATTTCATCAAGTCAACAAAATATTTATAGTTTAATCAACATCGACATTATTTTGAATCGACATAATCTGTTTTCGAGAAAACCATATACTTTGTTGATCGAATTGATATTATACTGTTGTTTTAATTAGACTATATCGTCACGATAAAAAAGGTGGTTTCCACCACCATATGTCACGATAAAATAGATGGTTAGTCCATCCATATCGATTTATTAGGGGTTTGCTTGGCTTAATAGTTTGCGAGAGGTAATATTCGAATAGGCACTAATAATTTAGGGGTACCTGAAAGTATGAGACTATATTCAAACATAACAATATTCATTGAATCATGGAACATTATGGGTAGTGATATGAAGAAACAACAATGAATATTAACTCCTAATAAAAACTTACATTATGAAGACCATCACGACGAGTTCTTTTCAAGTCAAGAGTAGCCCCAGACCAGACTAACTTCGGAACCCTCACATCCATTATTTATATACATTATTTTATTGAATTTGCACGTTTCTCATGAGAGTTCCTTGGTCAGTATTCATAGTGCAATGTCAACGGATGATTTGATCAACTTAATGTTTATGAAACCCTCATGGTCCGAAATTACTAATATACCGTATGTTCTACTCGTGACAATATTCATGATTTGAACAAGCTGCTTACATGAAATAATCATGTATCTGCTTGATTCAAGAAAAAATTGCTGAGAACAACAAAAATAATTCAAGCATAAATAATTTGTTGATGCATCAAATCCATTTTTTCCCTGTAGAACAGCGTGCACAGCCGCATCGCGTCGCTTCGCTCGGAATCGCGACGCTGACGGTCAACGACGTGAGTCGCAAACGCAACGAGAAATAATAATGGTGGATTTATGGAACATTTGCATAGCCCTAATCATAGTCTTAGTCCTAATTTAAAGCATAACTAGAAGTCGAAACGAGGTACTTGCATAAGGCCGTTTACACACCAATTTCAGTCATGAGCATAAGCACAAGGCTAAGAAACGACCTTGAAAGTTGATTGATTTGAACTTTTATGCTTATGTTATGTGGATTCGGCGAATGTTCCTTTGATAGAATTGTTGATGATTTGTTGTTTACATGTTCCGAAAATAATATTATGAGAAAGCTCAAAAGTTGATAAGTTTGATAGATAATTTTCCTCATCTCTGATACAAAAAGAACCACAAATTCTCAAAGGACTCTTATGCTTAAATCAAGTTTCAGGGCCTATTTATGCATCATTGTCTTAGTCATTGTCTCAATCAAAGTCTTACCAAAGTGGAGAGAATATTAACTCATCACACGGAAAGAAAGGATTTGTTGAATCAACAAAGTATTTGTGCTTGAATTATTTTTGTTGGACTAAGCAATTTTTTGTTGAATCAACCAGATACATGATTATTTCATGGAAGCAGATTGTTCAAATCAAGAATGTAGTCTAATTGAATCAACAGTATAATATCAATTCCATCAACAAAATATATGGTTGCATCAAAAGCAATTTATGTTGATCCAAAATAATGTCGATGTTGATTCAACTATAAACATTTTGTTGATTTGATCAAATGATGATCATTTTGATGGGAATATATCTTTGAAACAACAGACAAATTTTCTTATTCCGATGTAGCAATGAACTTGTTTCGAACGGATCATTTGCTTGAATAGAGCAACGAAATATGTAATATCACAATATTTTGTTCATTCTACATCAACTTGAATTTTCGCCTCTAGATGGCGATCATTTCGCCTCGTCTATGCCTGCCTCGAATTCATTATATACGTGAAGCCTGATTCTTCGTGTTTGAAATATCAGCTGGATGAATCGATTTTAGGATGATTATAGCAATCCGAAATAGTTTTCCATCATCTGAGGAGAAGTAAAGACTGAAGATCTATGCTAGAAATCGACTTGTTTCCTAGTTTTGTTCATTCTATTGATGTGAAATTTCAGAAAATTCCCGAATATTGAATTTGGTTCAACAAAACAATTTGTCGAATGGATATAAAGTTCCTCTTGAATCAACAAAATATTTCATTGAATCAACCAAATATTTCATTGAATCAAACAAATATTTCATTGAATCAACCAAATATTTCTTTGAATCAACCAAATATTTGATTGAATCAATATCTTGTTATTTTGAATCAAACAAAATGATTGTTTGAACCAATTCTATAACTCTTCATAAACAATTCATGGATGTGCTTGATTGAAGATCATCCAGAGTTCATGCAAGACATATTTACTTGATTCAAACTCCAAATTCGCTCTGAAACAAGATATAGATTTACTCATTTCAAGATTATATTTTGTCGTGCATATATGACACTTTTATTCGCTCCATTCAATCAAATTTTGCTTGATTCAACAATTTCTTTTTTTCCGTGATATTTGGACCTTTATGCATCACAGTCTTCAGGCTTTAGAATCATGATATGACAATTGACAATCCGGCAAAAGTGTCAACTGAAGTGTCGATATTCTGTTTTGGAGCAGGTTTTCCAACTAATTTTGAGGATCAATTTAGTTTATTGTTTTTCTTCGTAAAGATCTCTCACGAATTCGAAAATGGAAGTAGACATTTAATCATTGGAATTACTCTGTTATATATTCATTTGAATATTGCCACTCTGGTTTGCTTGATGCAAAAAAGGAAGGGAGTCAAGAGATTCGGAGTTCTATTAGGGTTTCTTCTTCCGAGCTCATGATTTTTTGATATTTGTTATCAAATGTAATCAAATTATCAGTATGATGTAATCAATTATTAACACACAGAATGGCACCGATTTCCTGGTGACAAACACAAAATTAAAATTCATATGTGATTGTCAAATCTGTTGACAAGTCGACACATGCGC